TCTGTGCTAAAACAGTCTGTTGACTATGAACAGTCAACTGTCATCCCTTTTCATCTATACTAAGTGACATATAAATCCGAACACCCAGTTTAAATGGTTTTATTTTAATAAAATTTTGTATAAGTACTTAATGAAGCATAATAAGTAAATGATAAAAATTTCAAAATGATTGCACTGCTTTAAAGCCCTTTGACCTTTAATAATGTGTGGATGCACCCTGATCTGCTACGCATTCTCCAACGCGCCTAGGCATGCTTCTGATCAGGTGGTCAATGTCCTCCTGTGGTATCTCATTCCAGGCAACCACCAACTCCTCTCGAAGTGCTTCTAGAGTCTGAGGCGGACGTTGCAAATTGAGCAATCTCCTACCCATCATTTCCCACACGTGCTCAATTGGGGATAAGTCAGGAGATCTTGGTGGCCATGGTAACAATGTGACATCATTATGTTGAAAGAAGTCTATTGTGACTCTTGCAACATGTGGTCGGGCATTAACTTGTTGGAAAGTTGGATCTGCCAGGGTGTCAAGACAGGGTAAAAGATGTGGTTCTAGAACTTCGTGGATATAACGCTGCGCGTTCATGTTACCTCTGATGAAGATTAAAGGTGACCTGGAACCATAAGCTATAGTACCCCAAACCATAATTCCAACAGTGTGATGAACATGTCTTTCAACAAAAAACTGTGGATTCCTCCTTTCACCACGTCGCCTTCTAACCCTGGCACGACCATCGTGCATGCCTAAACAAAATCGAGACTCGTCACTAAAGACAATACTGTTCCATTCCTGATCCCAGACTGACCGTTGTCTGCACCACAAGCCAAAACTTCTCATTCGTCGGTAAACACTTCGCATGCCAATAGGTCTTCCGTGTTCTGCAAACTATTCATTTGCAATGGACCTGGTAGTGGAGAAACGGTCCCTTAAGGCCAATAATCTTAGGCGGCGATCTTCACGGTCTGTTGTTCTACGGCGGCGTTCAGTGCCCCTTGCTCGTTACGTACGGCCTTCTCGAAGCCATGCCTGACAACACCTAACCACAGTGTCTACACTTCTTTGCACTCTAACTGCAATTGCCCGAAAAGAAAGTCCAGCTTCCCGAAGTCCCACTATACGGCCCCTATCAAACTCACTAAGTTGACGAAATCGTACAGGTCCCGTACTCTAGGCATCGTAACCGATCGTAAAGGATGTCAAGAACCAAAATCCGCCAACGTGGAGTCTTTACTGCGGCTGAAATATTCATTTTTAGAGCGTTAGTGAATTAAAAAAAAGCAGTATAAAAACCGGAATGTCCAACTGATAAGGCTGAACATTTTTTCACTTGTTATTTATAGTAAGATAAATACATTCACCAACTTTTATTAAAATAAAACCATTTAAACTGGGTGTTCGGATTTATATGTCACTTAGTATAGTTTATTCAAGGTATAAGTTAAAATCTGGTATCCAACTTGAGCTATGATCACGACGGGATCGTCGAAGTTTCAGTCTTCATACCTTGACAATACCGTTAACGCTATTTATTCGTGATAAAAGACTTAAAAAAATTAGAAATGTTATACTATTATCCAACGGACTGAGTGGCTACATTCCGAAGAGTAACGATGCTGGGTTTGTGTATATAAAGTATACCAAATCTGATTCGTCACGCATGCCTCTGGCGAGCAGACCGAAAAAATGTATACCACGAAACGTCCGTTCATCTGGTTGAAACAGTTTTCTCTTCACTACAAAAAGACGAATACGTGTCTCTAGGTATCGTATTACATAGTAAGAATTGTAATTACAAAAAAAGTCAAAGTCAACTATATTCACACACCATACTTGCCTGAAGTCTAAGCATAAACGTCGTTTTAACAATATGGGGCTAGGAATTGATGCGGTCTAGCAATACTATTTGAATATGATAGATAATCAAAAATTTGTCATTAGGAAACTTTGACATAAAAATATGACCCCTCAAGCAAGATTCCTATCCAAAGAATGGTAATAACATTACGGATAACTACTAACGAAAAGCACGAAAAACGGGATGTGGAGGATTTTTGGTAATTTGTTCATTTTTACTTATTTAGATTTGTTATTGATTAAGTATGATCATATTTGAAGTTTATATAACTATGTTTTGTAATGGGTTTGATCCCGTATAAATAAATAAATTCCCAATAATCTCGAAGAGTATAATATATCGCGATTTAAGCAAGATATTTTTCCACGTTTGCATACCTACTTGGCGCATCATAATCTTCCACTTGGACTTTGTTGCTAAGATTATTTCTGATACTCACAGAATCACTATACATATCATATTTTATCCAGTACATCCATCTCACAAAAGATCAAAAGTCCAGTTGGGGAAGCAAATAAATGCGAAATGTTTTCATAAGTGAAATCCACGTAAGTTGCTGCACACAGCACTGTTTCTGTAGGAATTAAAATAAATTTCATACCCTCAAGAGCATCTAACATTCAGATAGCAATAAATTCACTGGTGCCAAGCATGGGCGTCACAAAAAATCGACCTACATAAAAATATTTTAATAAGAATCAGTTATAGTGATTAATTTCTTTGAAAATAAAGATATCAAGATGTACTACTGCATCTAGTGAAGTTCGAATCTAGGATGCTTCTGTATTTCAGCAGAAAACTGCAGCACTTATGTGCTATTTATATGAATTTCAATATGAATAATTATACGAAAATAAAATAGAATTCTGCATTACTGCGTTTTTCCTTTGAACAAAAAATAAACATATGAAAACTATGGAAAAATGCAGTAAATTTGGTTGGCTAAAGTAAAATCAGCAAATAGCGTTACCGCTTTTCGATTTATAGCTAAAGACGGAATGTCATTTATTTTAAGGCTCAACAACAATTATGATCCGAAATCTCTCTAATGACTATGAAGTCAGGCAACTTTACAATATTCATTCCTTTTTTTGTTGTAATAATACTATTTATTTTAGTTATAATATACTAAGTGACATATAAATCCGAACACCCAGTTTAAATAGTTTTATTTTAATAAAAGTTGGTGAATGTATTTATCTTACTGTAAATAACAAGGGAAAAAATGTTCAGCCTTATCAGTTGGACATTCCGGTTTTTATACTGCTTTCTTTTAATTCACTAACGCTCTAAACATGAATATTTCAGCCGCAGTAAAGAATCAACGTTGGCGGATTTTGGTTCTTGACATCCTTTACGATCGGTTACGATGCCTAGAGTACGGAGACCTGTAGTAGGATTTCGTCAACTTAGTGAGTTTGATAGGGGCCGTATAGTGGGACTTCGAGAAGCTGGACCTTCTTTTCGGGCAATTGCAGTTAGAGTGCAAAGAAGTGTAGACACTGTGGTTAGGTGTTGTCAGGAATGGCTTCGAGAAGGCCGTACGTAAAGAGCAAGGGGCACTGGACGCCGCCGTAGAACAACAGACCGTGAAGATCGCCGCCTAAGATTATTGGCCTTAAGGGACCGTTTCTCCACTACCAGGTCCATTGCAAATTAATGGTTTGCAGAACACGGAAGACCTGTTGGCATGCGAAGTGTTTACCGACGAATGAGAAGTTTTGGCTTGTTTACATACCGGCCACACTGAGTCCTCCCTTTAACCCGAGAACACCGACGTAATCGCCTTGAGTGGTGCAGACAATGGTCACTCTGGGATCAGGAATGGAACAGTATTGTCTTTAGTGACGAGTCTCGATTTTATTTAGGCATGCACGATGGTCGTGCCAGGGTTAGAAGGCGACGTGGTGAAAGGAGAAATCCACAGTTTTTTGTTGAAAGACATGTCCATCACACTGTTGGAGTTATGATTTGGGGTGCTATAGCTTATGGTTCCAGGTCACCTTTAATCTTCATCAGAGGTAACATGAACGCGCAGCGTTATATCCACGAAGTTCTCACCCCATCTTTTACCCTATCAAGATAATGCCCGACCACATGTTGCAAGAGTCACAATAGACTTCTTTCAACATAATGATGTCACATTGCTACCATGGCCACCAAGATCTCCGGACTTATCCCCAATTGAGCAGGTGTGGGATATGATGGGTAGGAGATTGCTCAATTTGCAACGTCCTCCTCAGACTCTAGAAGCACTTCGAGAGGAGTTGGTGGTTGCCTGGAATGAGATACCACAGGAGGACATTGACCACCTGATCAGAAGCATGCCTAGGCGTGTTGGAGAATGCGTAGCACATCAGGGTGCATCCACACATTATTAAAGATCAAAGGGCTTTAAAGCAGTGCAATCATTTTGAAATGTTCATCATTTACTTATTATGCTTCATTAAGTACTTATACAAAATTTTATTAAAATAAAACCATTTAAACTGGGTGTTCGGATTTATATGTCACTTAGTATACTAATATACTGATGATTACTGAAAACTGTAAAACAGCATTGTAGACGGTTGGTTAAGATCTCAGAGGAAGAAGAGGAGAACTTTTGGATAGAACACGGTGAGTACTTAGTACTCCTCTGAATGACAATGGTATGCCTATGTCGTGGATGTTGCTTGCTAGCTTGATATAGAAGCAACCGCTGTCATCCAGAAATGCTGGTAGATCGAATTTTTCTACTATTCGTCATTATTCGTCAGAGCGGTCCGGTGGACCTTTGCTCTTAGTTAAAACTGAATTTTTCTGCTACCAGCGTAAGGGTTGACAGTACTGTGATTGTGGGGAAACCACTCATGGGTAACGTGTCACCTTTGGTTTATTTTTGACACATGGAAAACCACACTTAAATTATTGCTAAAGTGCAGAAACAATGCAATTTGCATTCAGATTTGCATACGTTGATGATATCGGTAATGACGACGACGAGTCAACGCCTTGGGGTTACAGCTCTCTACTACGACTCGAGCAGTAAGATCTCCAGCAGTAAAAACTCCCGAGCAGTAAGATCTCCAGCAGTAAAAACTCCCGAGCTTTGCTATCTAAATCATTAGCAGGTTGATTCGTGATAGGAATCTAATGGAATTACATTTAGATTTCCTTTTCCTTTTCCTTTTCCTTTTCCTTTTCCTTTTCCTTTTCCTTTTCCTTTTCCTTTTCCTTTTCCTTTTCCTTTTCCTTTTCCTTTTCCTTTTCCTTTTCCTTTTCCTTTTCCTTTTCCTTTTCCTTTTCCTTTTCCTTTCCTTTTCCTGTCCCTTTCCTTTTACTTTTCCTTTTTCTTTTCCTTTTCCTTTTTCTTTTCCTTTTCCTTATCCATTTACTGTAATAGGAAGTAGTGCGAACGTCAATGTAGGTAAAGTATTTTTTTATACTGATGCATCCGCGTACGCAGAGACACTGCTATGAAGAACGATCTTAGAACGACAAAAGTTAAATAGAACTGGAAAGAGCCTACAAAATCATTATTCGAGCATTTGTTTGTGTAAGCTCACAGCTCAGTTTTGTCTCATTGCATCACCTTAAAAATTTCTCGTCATCGAGTCTTCCACATTTATCTTTGTCGCTGTCAGTACGCTTATCATGGCCGTGCTGTCAGACTGAACCATAGATAGCGAAGATACAAGTGATATGTCAAGTCAAGGTCAAGAGGGTGAATAAACACAACAGACCTTTGTCGCGCAATTCATATGTGAGTGCAAGAGCGAGTAGCAGCTGCGTAAAGAATCAGCTTGCTCAGCGTGGGAATTTCAATCTGAAAACGGTTCTTCTCACCTCTCTTAATGACTGCAGTGAAACGTTCTCTATATTGGATATTATTATAAACTAAAATGATCCGAGAAGCCTTTTCGATCTCATAAACTGTATTTTCCGCAGAAATTTCCCCGTGCGCCTATGAAGATATAAAGCTCATAAAAACATCGCAATAACCAAAGCAATGTGTGTTATTACGTTATTAATAGAGGAAATGGTAAAAACAAGCGTATCATTGGCCGTAAAATTGTATTTTTCACCAAACGCATCATGCCGGACTTTTAATTCCAGAGATGCAGTATCATTTTTGAAATGCACGTGTATTAACAGCATTTTTACAAAGTTGTAATTCGAAGACCTCGTTCATTGTCGTTCAACTGCCTTTTTGTTATAGACTGAAGGTAATCTTTAGCGCCAAGCTAGCTGTTATCTCTTATAATTGTACAAATTTCAAAATATTCCCATAGTAAGCGAATAAGTGAATGGAAACCAACCTTTTATATTGCAAGCAGAACATATAAATCTCCCATTTCTCAGTCAAAGATTAATGCTAGGAACAATTCAGTATTAGTAATTGCGATGTAATCATAGTTCTCATGTCTGCAACAGATTTGACACAAGTAATGTACCGGGTATCACGTTCAGCAGCTTTACTGATTTGCTCGGGATAGAAAATAAACACTTATACCCTTAAGTAGAAATAGTTAACATAAACGAAAAATTTCCTTCTTGTATTTATATGGCATACACAACAAACGTTAGAACTGAAGTACCTACCACTTTTTAGTGAAACGAAGTCATGTTTTGGCGTAAAATATAATGGACAATGCCATTAGAACAATAGTGGCAGTTAGCTGTAAGCTTTTTCTTACTAGTAATAATAAAATCTTACCTTTACAGATATATCTTCATTTTGAACAACTTCTTTTTCTGAAAAAAAAATAATTTACATAAATGTTTTGCTAGTATTGTCACGAATCTAAGATTGAACAAAACTCAAAAAAAAGTAAACAAAATATTGTCAAAAGTGCCATATACTAAAGAACGACCGAAGCATTATACTACATTAAAGAAGAATCTCAAATACAGGGTGTCCGCAAAGTTGGGGTTTTCCTTTACACGACGTGTAGATCTTGAAAACATAAGCAATTTTTCTTAGTACCATATACACCAATGTCTTAAGGGAACCGAGATAAAGGGCTCTGCAACATCAAAAATATCTGAATACCGTCCTGTAGCCGCGACATCACCGACTGGTACAAGGTCACTGGCTCAACCCGACGACAGAACTGGGTCGGGGTCAGTGTGTCAGGTCAGTATGGAACCTTCAACCGATGGTTACGGTCACGCGTGTAGAGGTAATCGCGTAGACGAGAATCCCTCAACAAGCACTAGAGACGTGGCTAGAGAAGTGCAAGTATCAAAAACTAAAGTGTGGCAAACGCTGCGTGAAGAGGGGCTGTATCCGTTTCACGTCCAACGTGTACAAGCCCTTCAACCTGACGATTTTCCAGCAAGAGTGCCGTTTTGTGATTGGGTGTTTTGAAGTGCATATTGGTGACAGACGAATCTACGTTCACGCGTAATGGGTGAATAACTTTCGCAACACTCATGTTTGGTCAGTAGAAAATCCGCACGCTGTCCGTCGGGCACATTTTCAACAAACATTTTCGGTGAATGTTTGGGCTGGCATGGTGAACGGTATGCTCATTGGACCATTTATTCTCCCAAATCGATTGGACGGGATGCAATACCTAGACTTCTTACGCAACATTTTGCCTTCCTTGTTAGAAGATGTGGCATTAAGTGTAAGACAATCAATGTGGTTTCTGCGTCTGCTCGGTAGCGCATCAGCTGATTTCATTTTCTGTTGGAACGGTATGATTTCGGGCAGAGACGTACTTAGGCCTTCTCGTCAACTGGAGAGTGAGTACTTTTTCCTTTACTTTTTTTTACTTTTTCGCCCTCGTTTCACTACATATTACCTTTGTTATTTCAAGGGTAGTTGTTTCTGAAAAGGAAAACCCCAACTTTGCGGACACCCTGTATATGTGGTTTCATTGGCCAGGCAAACATGCGGAACTATCGAGATGAAAACCACAGGATACGTTTCAGGTATTACATTCAGTCTGCTTGAATATGAACTTTAATCTTTAAGCTTCATATTTATATGGCATTAACATTTGACAAGTATAAGCTACCTTCCCTATAGCCTGGCTGTGGTTGCTTTCCTCTAAAATTCCACTAATAGGAATATCATCTGGGCCGAGAAGCAGAGCGTTTCTATAGAAACTGACTGCAAATACCGCGCGTTGCTAACAAAATGATCAATCGTTAGGCGGTAATTAAAATTAGCTGACAAAAGGGTGGCGAGAGAATAATCTGGGTGATTAAAACGATCTCTGCTCTATTCGTGGTTGCGCGTTATCTCCCTTGACTGGATTCGGTGCTCCGGTGGAGCTTTCGCGCCAAGGTTATTGGATGACAAAGAAAAAAATCATTGATGAGATCAGTGTGTTTGATGAGGGTTGATCAAGTATTACCGTTCATTAAGCTAAATTTTATCACTAACACAGCATGAGGAGGATATCTAACTTTGTCGAATTGGAAAGGCTAAAATACTCATTTCAACTTGAGACTTTTAAAAAATAAATAAAAAACATGTTGCTTATGTATACATTCAAAATATGATTAATTATGGAAGAGATGAAATACGAGGAGGAGGACAAGGGATGTATGATAAAACCTTTTTACAAAATATGGTTATGAGATATAGTGCACAGAATGCTTGGAGTTTCTAAGCTGGATTTGACGTCGTTGGCTTGGCTGGCTAATTGGATGTTCTACTTTGATCAAAATCGGCTCCTCTGATTAGTCTTGCTAGGTATTTTAGAGAAATTTCTTGTGCGCCTGATCCAGGCGTGTTGCCACACTGTCATTTTGTAGCATCTCCCAAAGTATGTCATCTGGGGTGCGTTACGGAGACTGCCCACCTCTTTTATTATCTCCTTAATGCATGCTTCAGTTATTTTCAACTGTACTTCTATAGAGACATTCGAGCTGAGGCCAATGATTGGTGACAGAGCGTAACCTGCTCGATTTTTTTTTTTTAGTTCAATTAGTTTATTCAAATTCAAAAACCAATATAACTTACAAATTAAAAACAACCTTTAGTACAATTTAAATAAAAAAAAAGCTTCAAAAATACATGACCTTGTATACTCTTGCTACCCTGAATAACCAAGATTGCAACAGAAATCTGAGCAAAGATACTAGCATCAGATCTAGAACGAGCAAGTAACGGTATATGAATTGTGAAAATACTGTATACTTTCGTAAAGGGTAAATGTCTGAATCTTGTCGTCACAAATCCTAAATTACGTGTCTGCATAAACAAATCTAAAATTCAATAACAATAGTACAGAAGCATACTAAAGACACTCAGAAGTATAAATATAGAGTACATAAAATATGAATATCTGAAATATGATAATATAGGGATATTTCGAGTAAGGTCAAACTATGTTGTTTAAACAATAAAAATTTTGCGTAAAGGTTAAGCAGAGGAACAAGAGTACTACAATTTACTACAAAAGAATTTACTACAAAAGAATAGACACCTAAGCTATAAGCTTGTGTGTGTCATACAATATACAAATTCAATGCATGGCTAATGGTCATAAGGTATATTATGAGCAAAATGTATATAAAAGAAAGAAATAAAAAAAACATTAGGTAGAAACGAAATTACTGAGTTGAGTCAAGCTACCGTCGATGCAAGCATGTCAAAGTTATTTAAGATGAACTTCTTAATTCTTTTTTTGAAACTATACTTCGAGAGGATTTTATATTCTAGGGGTAATTTATTATACAACCTAATACCATCAAACTTTATGCATTTTTGGCAAACAGATTTATTCACTCTGGTATAGGTGTAACTTATATTTATTTTAGTTCTTGTTTCATAAGCGTGGCTGGTTGGAACATTGTTTCGGGAGTGAACAAATTTTAGAGCAGCAAAAATATATAAACCTCTAACATTCAAAAGATCATTTTCAATGTAAACAAATCTGCAACTTGACCTACATGGGATACGAAAAATAGTCCTGACAATATAATTTTGCGTGGTTTGTAGTATTTTTAAAGTAAAGTGTATGCGGCTCCCCAAATACTTATCCAGTAAGTTAGTAGAGAACCCCACAAACGAGTTATATATTGAGAGGACTCTTTCTGCTTAAAATATTCCTAAGAATGAAAAACTTATGAATAATTCTCCTTAATTTCGATGCCAAAAGCTCGGCATGACTCTGCCATTTTAAATTACTGTCAATAGTGATTCCTAAGTATCTAACAACTTCAACTCTTTCGACAGTGTCAGCACTATCATTTATAATTAATGTGCGGTGGTGTAATGGCATGCCTGTTTTGGTTGGAGAAAACGTTACATACTTAGTTTTAGAGATATTAAGTTTAAGTAAATTGTTATCCAACCAGCATTTGACTCGGCATTCCGTATTGCGTCATTCCATGAATGACCAGTGCAAACTAAAACAGTATCGTCTGCATATGATATCATTTTACAGTTGAAATTACATCGAAGTAGTTCATTTATGTATATGAGGAACAGTGTTGGTCCCAAAACCGTCCCCTGAGGCACACCTATTTTGATCTTTTGAATGTTGCTTAAATCTGACCCTACCTTAACTTGTTGTAATCGATCAGCCAAATAATTCTCAAATAAGTTCAGAACTCCGCTACGCACTCCAACGCTTTCTAGTTTCTTTAATAAAATTGTATGAGATACTGAATCGAAAGCCTTTTGAAGATCTAGGAAAACTGCAACAGTCTTATTTCCATCTTGAAAATGTTCAAGCACTTGTCCTGTAAGTTCTTGTAGAGATTGCTCTGTATTGCAACTTTTGCGGAACCCAAATTCATAGTTCGATATTATGTCATATTTCTCAAGAAAAGAACAAAGTCTGTTATTCAAACACTTCTCAAAAATCTTCCCAAATACATTGATAACTGAAATAGGTCTATAATTGAACATATTGTCTTTACTTCCAGATTTAAATATTGGTGTCACTATGCTTTCTTTAAATTGGCGAGGAATTACTGAGAATTTGAAACAGAGGTTGCTAATGTGAGTTATAGGGTGACTGATAAACTTCATGATCATCTTGACAGTTTTAGTGTGTAAGCCATCTTTTCCGGGTGCGCTTTTATTTTTCAGATTACAAACTATTTGTTGTAACTCTATGTTATCCATTGGTCTAAAGAATTATTTGTTTAATGGGGCGTGCGTGATTACTGTTTGAGCCCAATGCATACTCGGTTTTCTGCTTATTACATGTAAGGCCCAACCGATCATAATACTCAAATATTTCTTCCTTTGCCTACTTTGCTCTCTTGAAGACTGTGATTTGCTATTTGGAGTCACTTAGCGCTCAAGAATCATCTTCATTTGTCCTGGAATATTTTCTACTGGCAGTTCAGCAACGCATAGGCTTCACAGGCAGGGTACGAGGATAGATCCCGGGGGTACTCTGGTACGCTGGTGGTATGTTTTTGTTTTGACATGATTGTTTTCACCGCGTGTTTGTCAGACGAGCAAATAGTTTTCTATAATTTTGATCACTGCTGCTACGTGATATCGTTGTCCAAGTGCTTCCATGACTTTGGAAAAGTTGCATTTTCATTCCATTGCGTTTGATGAAATCATGCTGATATTCTGGAATAATTTTACAGATACTAGGCATAAATCATTGGAACACTGTATTATATATATATATACAGGGTTTGTCCGGAAAGTAGTAGGACTCATTTTTTTCCGCCATGACTGTAGTTCGGAGGATGCGCGCACCGACTGAATTCGGTAGAGGGCGTTCCTAGCTAACGAATGAGCGGCTGGTCAGTTGTCTCCGAGCACTTGGAGAGTCAGGACAGGCAGTTTCACGCGACGTGTGCGCGAAGATGGTCCCAAAAGAGCTCACTGACGACCAGAAATTGCGGCGAGTGGAAGTGTGCCAAGAAAATTTTAAAATGTGTGAAAGTGACCCCCAATTTTTGAATAACGTAATCACAGGTGACGAGTCGTGGATCTTTGAGTATGATCCCGAGACAAAGAGGCAATCTGCTGAGTAGCACACGACGGCGTCTCCTCGCCCAAAAAAGGGAAGAATGAGCAAATCCAAAGTGAAACCACGACAACGGCCTGGCTCACACCGCCTTTCTTGTGAACAGCTACCTGTCCAAGGCCGGCATCCCAACGCTTCCGCAACCGCCCTACAGCCCAGATGTCGCCCCGCGGACTTTTTTGTTTCTGCGCCTGAAAAGGCCGATGAAAGGCAAGGATTTTGAGACGACAAATTGGATCCAAGCAGCATGCACCGCGGCTTTCAAGGCTATTCCGGAGAATACCTTCCGTGACGCCTTCAATGCTTGGAAATCTCGCTGGCAGCGCTGCATCGACGCAGAAGGAGCCAATTTTGGAAGTTTTTAAACAATTGTAACGATTGGCTCAATCATTTTTTTTCAATCGACTCAGTCCTATTACTTTCCGGACAAACCCTGTATATATATATATATCTATGCGTGGCCCGAATATTACTCATAAAAAAATACATTTTGAGAAAATGTATTTATGGCATGTGTGTGACATTTGAGAAGCACATTTCTAAAATATTGGCAATTATACATGTCAAACCTGTGATTTTTTAAATTGAATGCCTGAAATTTTATTGCTTATTTTGATAAACCAATTTAAAAAAGAAGATTGATATAACATACTATGGGGTTTTGGTAATTAGCTGTTTTGTCCAGAAAAATCGTCCACTTCGGCAACGCCTCAATCCGCCATTTTGAAATTTGGAGAGCTGAATTTTGTATAATAATATACGCACCTCAGCTTTTATCTTATTTGTTACTTTTTCGAATTTTGATTTTTGCTCATACAGGGTGGTCAAAAACGCGAGTTGTACTTTTTATTTGCTTTTTTATATGCTTTTTTTGATACTAGACATATACGGGTTTTTACGGCTATTTTTTCGGTTATTAGCACGTCTTTTATGGAACGGCTTAATTCCCTAAAATATCGCATCATCCTTGGTAACAAATGAATTGTTGATTGGTTACAAACTGTCAAAATTAGCTTTGTGAGCATTATAATAAAAACGTGTTTGAAAACGAATCTTTCTAAAGAAGAAGATCAGATTTGACCACAACCATAACCTTCAAGGTCATATTAAGGTCAAGTTACTTTCGATGAGACGCTCAGTTTTTGAAGTAAAAAAGGTGGCACAGTCGTCTACAATAGTCGAATGGCCCATGGACATTGAAAATAATGAACCGACCGTTAAGGTTAAGTTATTATCTGTATTCACCATTGCCAATAACAAATCTTGTCCATGACCTTCAAAGTCATTTCAGTCATTTTGTCTCCGGAAAGGAAAAGAGTAGAACATTCCAAAATTGTTCCCTCGAATACCATGTATACTTTTTTATTTTGGAGTTTTGGTTCAGGAGTAATGCTTTGTTCTTGCATGTCTGCTACGCCCCCTACACGCTTCATAGCATTTCTAAGAGCCCTTTTGACAAGGATGCTCTAGAGACTTTATTCTTGAAGTTTGGGCAATATTCACCGGAGACTGATTTCCGTAAGGTTTGTCCCCCCTCCAATTTCCATTAAAATTTCTTCTAAAGCTACAAATTACATTATCACCCTACCATTTATTTAAACTCGCCTGCCACCATCTGTCAACGTCGCATTGCTCAAAAATTGCGAAAGGGAGTTCTCTTCACCCGTACAGGATTTTTTTCATGTTTTTGGGTCGTTAGGAACGAAAATGGCCTTTAGTGACTTTTATCTAAAGATGACCGTTTTCGAGTCAAGCGATTTAATGTCTTGAAACCCTAAAATTGGGGCTACTCCGTTAAAATTTATAATCTATCAGATAGCCAAGTATCTAAATTAAAGTTTAAATCTCGCTCTACAAGATACCGGGTAGTCTTTTGACATTAGTTATTTAAAAGCGGTTTTACCCTTGTTTAAGCCAAAACTGGCGAACATTTGAATTTCGCAGACTAGATACCGGGCCACAGCCCATGTCCGACCTACAAGTTCCAAAACATTTTGTATAATAATTTATCGTTATTACAAAGTTTCGTCCTCAATTAGCCTGGGAAGTAAAATCGTGATTATTTATCTCTTACATAGTCTTATGTAATTTTCTTTGACAAGGTGTGATAGTTATCACTTGTAAGATCAATTTTTCCAAACAGATATTCTAATACCTGAAAACCAGTATTTTCTACAGCATATATCTCAAAACGGGCAAAGAATTCACACTTTTCACCGTGATAATTCTCATTCCATTGAAATTAACTATACTAAGTGACATATAAATCCGAACACCCAGTTTAAATGGTTTTATTTTAATAAAAGTTGGTGAATGTATATATCTTACTGTAAATAACAAGTGAAAAAATTTTCAGCCTTATCAGTTGGACATTCCGGTTTTTATGCTGCTTTTTTTTAATTCACTAACGCTCTAAAAATGAATATTTCAGCCGCAGTAAAGAATCAACGTTGACGGATTTGGTTCTTGACCTCCTTTACGATCGGTTACGATGCCTAGAGTACGGAGACCTGTACGATTTCGTCAACTTAGTGAGTTTGATAGGGGCCGTATAGTGGGACTTCGGGAAGCTGGACTTTCTTTTCGGGCAATTGCAGTTAGAGTGCAAAGAATTGTAGACACTGTGGTTAGGTGTTGTCAGGAATGGCTTCGAGAAGGCCGTACGCAAAGAGCAAGGGGCACTGGACGCCGCCGTAGAACAACAGACCGTGAAGATCGCCGCCTAAGATTATTGGCCTTAAGGGACCGTTTCTCCACTACCAGGTCCATTGCAAATGAATGGTTTGCAGAACACGGAAGACCTATTGGCATGCGAAGTGTTTACCGACGAATGAGAAGTTTTGGCTTGTTTTCATACCGGCCACACTGGGTCCTCCCTTTAACTCGAGAAAACCGACGTAATCGCCTTGAGTGGTGCAGACAACGGTCACTCTGAGATCAGGAATGGAAGAGTATTGTCTTTAGTGACGAGTCTTGATTTTGTTTAGGCATGCACGATGGTCGTACCAGGGTTAGAAGGCGACGTGGTGAAAGGAGGAATCCACAGTTTTTTATTGAAAGACATGTTCATCACACTGTTGGAGTTATGGTTTGGGGTGCTATAGCTTATGGTTCCAGGTCACCTTTAATCTTCATCAGAGGTAACATGAACGCGCAGCGTTGTATCCACGAAGTTCTAGAACCCCATCTTTTACCCTATCTTGACACCCTGGCAGATCCAACTTTCCAACAAGATAATGCCCGACCACAGGTTGCAAGAGTCACAATAGACTTCTTTCAACATAATGATGTCACATTGTTACCATGGCCACCAAGATCTCCCGACTTATCCGCAATTGAGAACGTGTGGGATATGATGGGTAGGAGATTGCTCAATTTGCAACGTCCTCCTCAGACTCTAGAAGCACTTCGAGAGAAGTTGGTGGTTGCCTGGAATGATATACTACAGGAATATATTGACCACCTGATCAGAAGCATGCCTAGGCGCGTTGGAGAATGCGTAGCACATCAGGGTGCATCCACACATTATTAAAGGTCAAAGGGCTTTAAAGCAGTGCAATCATTTTGAAATTTTTATCATTTACTTATTGTGCTTCATTAGGTACTTATAAAAAATTTATAATTTACTAGTATATATCTAACGGTATATCACTTACTACTATCCGTCCCAAAACACCCATGCTCCTTTGACGGGCCTCGGTGAAGCCTTCAAGCCAAGGTTATGCGGTGACAGAAAACTACATTGATGAGATTGTGTTGATGAAGGTATGGTGTCAGTTGAAGGGTGGTAGTTAGAACATTTCTGAAAATTAGCTCAATTATTTTATATCACATGCGGTGTAAGGTTCAGAGGGAATTTCGTTTAATAACAACGACCATAGTGGTAGAACAAACCCTCATTAAAGCTGGATACTACGGATCAAAATTACTATTAATTACACTGGACAACAAATTTTAGTTTTTTAATTGTATCTTGTGGGAAAAGTGCACTTCTTTGTTAATTTTGGGGCGCTGAATCCGAAAATGACAATGAAATAAAAAAATTAGTTGCGGTTTAGAAAAAAAACTTTTTATTTTTAAGGATATATTAAAAAAAGTGTCAAGATTCATATACTTATAAGAATCACTTATGCGCTGTCTTTTTGCTGTTCTTTTATGGATTGTTTCTGGAGCATCTCTACCAAGAGTCCAACAGTAGTCTGCAAGCATGGAAGGATTCCACTGTCCCTGGTACCTTTTTTCCATTGTTGAAATATCCTGATGAAAACGTTCGCCGTGCTCATCACTTACGGCTCCGCAATTGTCAGGAAAAAAGTCCAGGTGTGAGTGTAGGAAGTGTATCTTAAGAGACATATTACAGCCCATCTTTTGATACGATGACAGCATATTTTTGACAAGGGTTTTATAGTTGTCAGCTTCTCTATTTCCCAAGAAATTAGTGACCACCAGACGGAAATCATTCCAAGCAGTTTTTTCAATACCTGTTAAACTGTTTTCAAACTGTGTATCTTTCAAAATATTTCGAATCTGTGGCCCAACAAAAATACCTTCTTTAACCTTTGCCTCACTTAGTCATGGAAATTTCTGTCGCAGGTATTGAAAAGCTGACCCATCTCTATCTAATGCCTTGACAAAGTTTTTCTTTAGGCCCAACTTGATATGCAGTGGTGGTAATAATTTTTTTTTCGAATCTACTAATGGCATATGCTGTACATTCTTTTGACCTGGCTCTAGGAATTGACGAACAGGCCAGTTTTGTCTGGTGTAATGAAGTGCCTTTGCCCGACTGTCCCATTCACACAAAAAACAGCAAAACTTTGTGTAGCCTAGCTGAAGCCCAAGTAAAAGTGCAACAACTTTCAAATCGCCACAAATATGCCATTGGTGCTCATCGTATTTTATGCATGTCAATAGGTACTTCATATTGTCATATGATTCTTTCATGTGAACTGCATACCCTACAGGTAGAGATGGCAAAATATTTCCAATATGCAATAACACTGCCTTTAAACTCAATGTTGAACTGTCTATAAACAATCTCCATTCGTCTGGGTTATAGTTTATATTTAAAGCCGCCAGTAAGCCGTTAATGTTACTGCAGAAAACTAAGTTATTCTCCATATTGAAAAATGGTTCTCAGTCTTTGTGGCGTTTACGAAAAACACATACCGAAACATCGTCTTCTAACAAGTTCC